GGACAGGAGTTGGGAATGTAATTATAGGGGAATCATTTCTATTGATTGTGCTTGGTATACCTTAATAGGCCTCACAGTGCTGGTAGCATACCCCCTTCCCCCTCAACATATGCATCAATCAAACCCATGAATCAAACCCCTTACTATCAAATTGAGCAGGGGTATTCCTTCAACTATTCAAAATTAAATCTGGACAAGATCAATCTTAAGATCTGTTAATGGAACGGGTATTGTTTTGTGTTCTGTCAAAACTCTTTTTTTTTTAAATCTTGTTTGTGCGTGCGTTGGGGGGGGGGGTCAACTTCTCCAATATGGTGTCCTCTTGGTATGGTTAATGGCAGAACTTCAATGGATGATTATTCTTTCCACCATATTAACAGTTGGCATACAATTTTTGAACAATTTGATAATTGGCCACTAAAGGTGAGGTTCCATCACTCCATCAGTACCATCTTTTGTACTGTAATTATTGTTCTCCAATCCTGCAAAACTTATTCATGCGACCATTTTGTGCTAAATACTTATTTTATTTTTAAACAATTGTCTGTAATATGTACTACAGATTTGTCAAAGGAACCAGACCTGGACATGAGACAGGCTTTAACATCGATGACTCTGATCTTGATGAGATGGAAACTTGTCGAGGTGTGGTGGTTGCATCAGCAATATTTGGTATTGACCGCTTGCAGGCTTAATCTCATTTTAATTTTTATGGTCATGTTAGTTGCAGTTTTTTAATAGTGACGTGTGCATTGCTTTTCCAACCAGGGGCATTTGATGTAATACATCAACCAGCGAACATAAGTGAATATTCCAAAAGTAATGTCTGCTTTTATATGTTCGTGGATGAGCAGACCAAAACATTTCTAAGAAATTCACGTGATCTTGATAGTAGTGGTAAAATTGGATTGTGGAGAATCGTTGTAGTCCATAATCTACCTTATAGTGATTCAAGGCGCAATGGAAAGGTAATTTTCTCTTTTATTTTTCTATCCCAGGTACATTCTTTTGACATGCTTTTTACAACCTCTCTTCTCATGGGTAGAGTTAAGGTTTGCATGCATCATGTCACCCTAGGCCTTGCTCTTGTGTGGGTTATGCTGGGTCTTTTATTTGGATATATTCTTTTGAAGTGCTTTTGCATATCTGCTTACTTACTCCATGTGCGAGGATTACGATTTATAAATTGCACTCTTTAGTTTTTGTGCTTGAAAATAGAGCACTGATGAAATTGTCTGGTAATGTAGTAATATACCCATTTATATTATGCTTGTGGCAACATCATTCACAAAATAAGAATAAACGGAGTAATGTATCAATATCTTGCTATTTGCTGGTTTTTCAATTTTCAATTGTTCCAAATTATCAATGTCTCATGGTATCTTCCATACAATTCATCCCCCTTCTATAACCATGGCATTTTTTGGGTTTCATAGGAATGGCATACATGCGACATAACATTTTGTCGATATGTTCTTTTTTGCGTGAATTTATGGTTAATGACTTTTAGTCAATTAAGTGAAACTACAAGTTTCATGCCACCAACCGTAGCATAGTTTTTATTAAAACTGGTCCTTGTTTGGTTGGAAGGCTTTGGGAGGACGTGAGGAAAGTGGATGAGGTACAAAATCATATCTCAATTCCCCAATTTGGGGTCTTTCAGATGAGTTATAATTTTTCTAATTTTTGGTGAAAACTGTGTGGTCAAAATTTATATTGAACAAAGTGAAATAAAGTTGTCCACATGTTTATTTCCTAAAAGAGAAAGTAGAGAAGTGTAAAGTTGATTTTTGGACATACAAAAATGGAAAATATAGAGTTGATTTGGGGATAGAGGAAGGCTTATTTTTCTAGAATAGTAATTCCTCATTGCTCCTCCATTGACCAAACATAATGCCTCCCTGCCTACTGCATTTTAGGTTCCGAAGCTTTTACTTCATCGGCTTTTCCCAAATGCCCGTTATTCTATGTGGATTGATGGAAAACTTGAACTGGTTGTGGATCCTTATCAGATTCTTGAACGGTACTATCTGAGTTTCACACAATCACACTAAAACAATTCAAAAGAAAAAATTCAAATATTTGCAGTTTGTTCCTCTGATTCACATATTATGAATTCTACTGAAGCTTTTTTTTTTAACGAATTCTGCAGGTTCTTGTGGAGGAAAAATGCTAGCTTTGCAATATCTAGGCATTATAGGCGTTTTGATGTGTTTGTGGAAGCAGAAGCTAATAAGGCAGCAGCAAAGTTTGACAATGCTTCCATTGACTTCCAGATTGACTTTTATAAAAAAGAAGGCCTCACTCCATTTTCCTCTGCTAAATTTCCTATCACAAGTGGTAAGATCAGATTTCCTTTTTTTCTTGCTTTGTAGGATGTGAGACTTTGATAGAATTGTTATTTTTGTTATGTGATATTTTGGGGTGTGCAGATGTTCCGGAGGGATGTGTGATTATTCGCGAGCATGTTCCAATATCTAATCTCTTCACCTGCCTTTGGTTCAATGAAGTTGACCGTTTCACCCCTAGAGACCAGATTAGCTTTTCAACTGTACGGGACAAGATCAGGTCCAAGACGGATTGGACTGTAAATATGTTCCTTGACTGTGAAAGGCGCAACTTTGTTGTTCAGGTAACCTTTACCATTTTCTATAGAGTTAGGCCTGTTTGGTTTGGATGAAATTCGACTGAATTGATTAATAAGACTCATAGATGAAAAACTTCTTCCACCAAATGGACACTTAAACTTATATCAAAATTCTTATTTCCATTCGCTCAGTCAGTTATAAACTATGGGGCTTGCATTGTTTTTACTTTTAAAAATCAACACAAATCTGCAAGCCCGAAACTCCGAAAGTAGACACGTTGTTGACTATAAAGTCCGAGTGATAATAAGCATCAAATTTTGCCAGTATTCTTAAAGTCTCGTAAATTTGCCCGTCTATTAATCTGTTTATACAATAACCAATCCAGTAAATCGCATGCTGTATGGGCCGTGGGGTGTGTGTACACAAACCTTACCCCTACTTAGAAGTAGAGCTATTGATCTGTTTATATAAGCTGATATATAACATCGGTTCTTCTGTTAGACTTTGGGCTCTTTTCGTAGGGCATAATCAAGCTGATTTTTTTCTTATAGGCATGATTGTGAGACTTTGGGCCGTTTAAATGTACAATATTGGAGTAGTATTATTGTAAAATCTCAAATTTCTTATTTTTCATGTATTTTTCCTATGAAATAAAACAATTTGCAATAATAATAATAATTATAACAGGGTTACCATAGAGATATTCTAGAGCAACGAGCCCCGCCGCCTCCACACACGCATCCTCCACCTCCACCTCCGATTCTCGGGGAGGCGCTCGTCAAGACTTCTTCAAACAATGTGCCGGCAGCTAGAAAAAGTCCTCAAAAGCGCGTGAGAGAGAGGAGACCGAGGCGGCATCGCAAGGTGTTGCCGGACGTGAGGAGCTTAGCCGCCTAAAGAAAAGTCAGGACCATTGTTTTAAACCAAATCCAAAAATGTTTGCTTCCTCACTCACTGCCTTATTATTCTTTCCTGATTCCCCTTCATGCATGCAGGGCGGCTCTATGGTGTGTGCAATGTTGTTTTCCACTATGCAGTATCACTTTATTTTTTTTATTTTCTTTTTCTTTTATAGATTTACTATAATTATTGTTGTTGTTATTAGAAGATTTATTATATTTTTGCTGTATATATATATACCCATCTGAGATTTTAGTAATAATTTTGATACGAGGTTGCCACCCAGACAGGGTGGGGGGGTGTCCTCTTCTTGAATCATTCTCGTACTCAAACTGGGATTATATTCTGTTTTCATGCAATAATTAATGGTTTCTCGAGTATCATGGTGTGCATTTTTCCCCCCAAAAATTGCAAAGTGAGGAATGAATAAATTTATTCCGTAAAGAAATGGAGGAAAAATGAAGTGGGAGAAGAATATATAT